GAGCGAAGATACATACCATACGCCGACAAGAGGATGTCTCCAACGATGCAGAATATCTAGGCAGTCGATTTCGGGGAGAAGAGATCCTTGGTAGAAGTCTGCTTACGAAGTTGCAGACGTTGAGGAGGAAGTTCTCAAAGTCTTTAGATTGGATGCAGTTCCAATAGCGAGCTGTGATGTCGTTAACCAAATAAGAGAGCCCAACGTTGCATAGAGAGAGGAGAGTGAGTACCTTGATCGACGTGAGAAACATTCCTCACACCCATCGGCTGTGTGGTCTAGTGGTATGATTCTCGCTTAGGGTGCGAGAGGTCCCGAGTTCAATTCTCGGCACAGCCCTTTTAACAGCATCTCACCAAAGCATATCTCCACGAGCTCTTCTTCCGCGTGCTCCCCGTAAAGTAAGGCTTTATCAGCGACAACATCTTATTCAACTCTAGAGGATTCGTATTGCCTAATAACAACTCGATCATCACCGAAATTATAATTGGCCGCTCACCTCCTTGGGTGTTCTCTTGAGGAGTCGAGATGCTCTCATTGAAGTCGGTCTCAGACCAGCTCAAGTGGAGATATTCGAAGACAACAACCAGTACCTGACCTCAATACTGTAAGTCATTGAAAAGAGTTGAGGGAACTCACCAGAAGGAAGCTCAGCATAGTTGCATATACTGGCCAAGGCTGAGCCGACTTCCGACCCTCATCATCGCTACCGTTCACTACCACTGGGAGGTGTCCCCCTAGAGGTGGTCCTTGAGCCTGTCAAAGACGATGACGCCTGTCAGTTTGAGCAATGCACGAACGACTTCCAGCGATATGCATCCACGATGAACTATCTGACAATTTGGTCTAGTGTGCACTATATCTGTAACACAGTCGAGTTATGGAGATTAGTACTGGGCATTCCGACATCCTCTATATGATGTCCTTCCCTATGAACTTAATCTACTACTGTATGGCAATGCAAGTGTCGTGGAACAGCTCACCTTGCTTGTTAGATTCTCACTGGGTCCAACGATAAAGGCGTTCATCAGACTGTCAGTGCTTATAAGCGATGACTCTATACCATGTCTCCACAAAAACGGCTCATCCACCTCCACCAAATCGCTGCCGCGTAGAGCTCCCGGCTGAACCAACATAGGTCCCGAGTTCGATCCCCGGTGACGACACCTCTCACCTCTCCTTGGTCCGTAGGAAGCACATTTCGATTGAGCCCTCTAGCCTCGCTACATGGATTCATAGAAGTATCATCGCATGGTGTCTGCTCTACGAATGAGCTCGCCCGAACCACCTCAATCTAACAGGAAAGCAAACACTTGCTGAGTTGTAAACACGATGACCAAC